TAGCATAATCTGTGTTATTAGCGGTGAGCTGGCTGTTATCTATTGTCATCTATTGTTGGTACAAATTCAGCAGCCAAAGAAGCACAAAACGAATTTGTAAATGCTCTTTAAACGTGTATTAAGCGCCCTAAAAATCTTAGTGATGATATAAGCCGGTATCAAAGCATATAAAATAATGCAAATTCAAATCTGAACTTTAGTATAGCTCCAGGTCTGTTATTTATTACCGTCGGATTTAAGTTGAAAAACTTACACAACAAAAGAGTATAATAACAAGCTTTTAGAAGCTACCGCAACAGGTTTTCGTTTTACAAGCTTAAATGAAGGTAAAAAAATAAACCCAACAGAAACAAAACCAACCGATACAAAACCAACAGAAACAAAGCCAACATTAATTATTGATAATGAACTTTTAGCTGATGAATTTCAAGTCTTCGAGGAGAAATATCAAAAATTTCTTAGACAAGCTGACACAGAAATGCAAAAAAATGAGCCAGCTAATGTAATTGATAGTGGTCCAGAAAATGTAAAAGATATCCAACGATATCTCATGATGATGTATGTGGAATTAATTAGACCTTGGTAATGCTATCTAATTGACTTTGGATATTACAAGCAAGAAAAGAAATATATGAGTGGGAAAATCAATGCCAGCATTGCAAAAGGCGAAAAGCTTAAGCTGGGAATCAGATTATGGCACTATTACGAAAGATCAGATTAAAAATGCCTTTGCACGCATTTTTAAGAACAGCTGTTGATTTTGGTAGCCATTTGTAACAGTGCAAGGAAAAGGTATGAGAAGAACTTAACGTTATTTATGCTTGTTTACCTGCCTTACATCACAAGCTGGACATTTAGAGATAGCATTTGGGTTGGATAAGATTCGTTTCCAAACATGCTTTATTGAATGGTTAATTGACGTGGTCTTCGAAAGGAAATGATTTCGATAATGGTATTAACTTAGTTGGAGCAAATAGAGAACTTTAAGAGCTTGTAGGCAGTTTGAATTTAGAAAAGTTAAAATAATTAAAAGCCTGTACAGGCGTTAAGTGGCAATTTAACCTTCCAATTGGACCACACTTTGGAAGAGCCCATGAAATTAGCATCAAGTCAGCAATGAAAGCTAAATAAAATGTTCTGGGATACTAATGATGAAGAACTAATGACAGCATTTACACGTGCAGAACCATTAATCAACTCAAGACCTTTAACATACCAGTCTTGTAATCCTGACGATGATTTTTCGTTAACATCAAATCATTTCTTACATGGTCGAGTAGGTGGCGAATTTGCACCAGAAAAAGTTGATACTGAGGATTTTAGCATTAAAAAACGTTGGCGCTGAACCCAAGATTTTATCAGTGACTTTTTAAAAGATGGTTACAAGAGTGGCTTCCAACCTTAAAATCTAGGAAAAAATGGTTTCTTGAAAAAAGTGATATTCATATAGGAAATGTTATCTCATAGGATACACTGCAGGGAAAATGGCCGTTAGGAAGAGATTTAGAAACGTATCATGGCGCTGATGGTCATACTAGAGTTGTAAAGGTGAAAGTGGGAAACAATGAAGTTAAACGACCAATATCTCGTATATGCTTATTGGAATGTTAGAGCTAAGTTTACGTTGTTTTTTAGCTTCCTTTGCTGCATCATTCAACCTTTTAAGTATTATTTGTTTGTTGAGACACTTCCCTTCAAATCTTGGCACATCTAAATTTTTTTTTTTTTTTTTGTGTATCAACGTGTTGGATACGAAACATTTATTGCAAAGCTGCTGCTCGTGATTGCAGTTGTTTTTTAACCTATTTTTGAATTTTCTTTTTAATAGCCGGAATTACTACCACATTGAAGGTTGTTTAAAGACTTAAAGGTTGTTTAAAAGACTTAAGGTTGTTTAAAAGACTTAAGGTTGTTTAAAACTTTTGAGTTGACTTTGGAGCTGATGCTAGATGTTGGTGTAGATTAAGAGGGCAGTGACTGAGGCAGTGTAGTTCCTGGTACTAGTATTGACGATGGTACTATCATAAATTCTGGTTTTTGAGACGATGAAGGCTCAGGTTCAGACGACGGTGTTTCAAACGTATTTGCAATTTGCATGTTTGACTTATTGATTTTATGGATGTTGAATGGAAATAAACCAGTATTCTGAAACCCAGTGACTATTTGGGTACATGTAAAAACTTTACCAGAGCTGAAAAGTTTTTTTTTTGCAGGTGACTAAAACATTCTTTTGATAAGTTGCTGAACTTTGTCTCTGCATAATACTGTTGAAATAATTAGTGCCAAACAGTTTTGACATTACAATAAACACCAACATCTAGTGGGTGCAGAATATATGATGAATGAACTGGTAAACAAATTAACAAGATATCATTTTCGATGCAAATAAATACAACCCGATAAGTGACATGTGTCACATGTCCATCTACGACTAAAATATGAATACCTAAAATTAAATATTTATATTTTTAATTGATGTAACCTTTTGTGAACGTAAAATTAGATAAATATAATCAGATAACTAAAATTAGATTGAACTAATTTCTTGGAATTTTTTTAGTGGCGGGAACAGCCACGTTAGTGACCCACTGAACAGTTTGCTTATATTCCGTCCATATGGAGTTATAGCGTATATGACTTCATCTGGACTACTTAAACACCAATCTCTGTACAGACATTTTTTTTTTATTTAAAAGTAATGTATGGAGAAAGAAAATTACCAGCAGCATTAATGCAATTTCCAACTGTGTAATGGATTTTTTTTATTGTTGCCAACCAATTTTAATGGTCGTTTTACAACACCCCGGTCGTTTTACAAACTATATTTTGCTTACCTTGATCACAAAAGAAGCCAAATTCATCACAATTCTACAAATGACACGGAGTGTTTTTGTTGATACTTGCTACGTTGAATTCACTTTACAGTGTGTTGAAATACTTTGCTTCTTTTTCTTGCGTGCAAGAAGCGGCTCTGAGAGATGAAATACTGACTCAGGCGCTAATAATCAACCTATGACTCCACCGGATTATGAAAAGGTTATACCAATTTCTTCCTGGTGTACCATTAGGAAACAAATAAGATTGACCTTAGCGTTGCAATTAATTGATAACTAGTGTGATGACGTTATTGTAAGTTCTACCAAAGCCCCAATCGGATAACTTGATGAGCGTATCTAAAAAAACTGATTAAAGTTGTTTTAACAATTTCTTGATTGAACCACTGCCAATTGTTTCACCTATTCCGTTGAAACGGCTGTGAAGAGTTGCTACTGGTATGCTGAATCATTTAGTAGATTTGTTAAAAGAAAATTCACCGCTTTGTACTTTAACCACCGTAAGCACAACTTGCTCTTCGGTGTATAGTTTTTCTTTTTATTTTGCATGCAAGTTATTACGAAGCATATTTTATATTAAAATAGATTTAACAAAATTCCATTTAAAGTTTATGCACAAAATGTATAGAGATAACTTGGTCACTTGAGACTTAATTAATAAAAACCGCATTTAACAAGAGGATAGTTAGCGTATTTCATTTATTCATTAAAATCATTTACTAAAAGCATCCGAGATTTGGGACTCCCAAAACAATCTGCTAATTACTAGGATCTTATTAGGAATTTATTGACACCTGGAACTTCTTTTGCTTCGTACAGAAAAAGAGAAAAACATTTTGACTTTTTTTTTTCTCAAGATGGTGAGCTAGTCTATTGTTCAAAGTTCAACATATAGCTGAAAAAACTGTTTATTGATTCATTGAAAAGAAGTATAAAAACTGTTTTACTTCACAACCGGAAAAATAGGCATCAATAATCTATTTCCCTGAGTTAAATGTAAATGGGATAGTCGTGTTAAAGCTAAACACTGGAACTAGAAAGTGTGGCCAAAAAAAACATTAAAGGTCGGAGAGAAAAACTTGCATTTTAAATCTTTGGTTGATCCTAAAAAGGTCCTTCTGCAACCGTTTCATTTAAACTTGGTATAATGAAGCAGTTTGTGAAGGCATTGCCAAAAGATGGAGAGATATCAACTTTGAAAATGTGATGAACGATGTTGAAAGATCAGCATGGAATTCTTTTAAAAATGTAGTTAAAAAGTTTCTCGGCAATCAGAAAGAACTGGACTTTAAAAGTATTGCAAAAAATAAATTGTAAAAAAAATCTTGGTGCAGTTAGTGAAGAGCAAGGTGAGAGGATTCACCAAAAGATCAAGGAATTCGAGAGAACAAATCAAGGTCGTTTGGGTACAAATATAATGGGCGACAACTGCTTATTTTCCAAATGCAGCATCCGGCACAAAAGAAAAAATACAAAACGAAGCTTCAAAATAAAAAAAAAAAACAGATTTTATAATTTTATATAATGTATATAAAATATTTCATGACTTAAAATTAATAGAATTTGCATAAAATTATAATTTTTTATTTCTTTTTAATATTCCCTACAGAAGTAGTGCATGGCGGGTTTTGCCTATATTTAATTTCCACTTTGCGGAAAATCTTTACGGGATAGATCAAATGGTTGGCATTCTTGAGTTAAGAGTACCAAAAAACATATAATATACTCATTATTATTTTTAAAAAATTTCAATTTGCAAATCCTGCATAGTAAATGGGTGTCCTTCGGTTCTAACTTTTTGAGGAATCTTTTTTTGCGACGCGTGTTTAATTTATGTTTCATTAGTTAGATTAGTTGGTGATTTTTAAATTCTTAAAAAATTGAAGTCAGAAATTGTGTTTTAAGTCATGGTACTCCGGTCACGTGATCAGATAACCTATTAATGAACTTTTTATTTTAATTTTTATTTCAAATTTTTTATATTTCACCGCCTTTCCTAACATTTTTTAAAAATAGACTCAACATTTAAATAATAATATATTGCGATGGAAAAATTGAGTCAAATTTAAAATATCTTCAGTAAAAATCAGAAAAATTTCTTTAAGTGTAAAAAAAAGTCAGCGTAAAAAAGTATAACAAAAAATCTATTCTAATATATAGTGTAAAAAAATCTAATCTCAGTGTAAAAAAATCTGTAATAAAAATACGTTTTAAAAAACTAACAAAAATAAAAATAAGCCAATAAAAGTTTATTAGATATTTCAACTTTTTCAAATTATCACCATTTTTCAAAAAGTCATGAAGTTATATAATTTATTACTTTGCTGGAGCTTTCTTTAAGAAGTATCTATTCATTTCGATCATGCGGTTAAATACTTTGGTGAACTCTTTTACCCACAACGCATTATCACGTGCAAATCGAACCGCTTGTTGGTGACCAGCTGAATGCTTACACTGTATGCTTTGCGAAGCTGGAGAACATAAAACAGATCCACTTTCATCAATTGGTTCAATAATCCAAGAATTAGCCAAATCTGAGTTTAAAAGCAATGATGTCCTGTTAGACTCGGACAACTGGTCATTAGGTATTGGGTTGCTTGGTTCTTGCCATTGTTTTTGTGTACCGTTGATGGTTACTTGGATCCACGCAACAACATCTATAATTTCTCTGTAGTAAGCATTGTCAAGAACGCTAGTTGGAGCTAGTGTGAATGGTCCCTGAGTAACTGTTGAAAATTCTTCGTCGACCCAGCTTCCAACAAAACCAGAGTTTTCCAACTTGCATTGTCCAAGCGTGTGTGCTCCTAAAATGGTTACTGCTTCACTAACGCTAAAGCTAAATTCATCCTTAAAAAATTTGAATGTTTTATCGGTTCCTTCAATGCCTTCTGGTGGATCAACACTTTGAACCTGATTAGGGGAGGTTTCACAATCTCTCCTTCCGACTTTGAAGTCTTTTAGTCCTAAGTATTTTACTGGAGCATCGAATGTTGACCTAGTGAGAGCAACAACAGCGGCTAAAGCGTAAAAATCTGCTCTAGATATTTTACCTTTGTGTGAAGTGTCGTATAACGCATTAAGACGGTCAGTTATTATTTTTAATCCAGCGTTCCCTCTGTGTGTATGATCTATACACCCATCACACTTGTATTTACCAATGCAATCGTGAAAAGCAAGACGTACACAGCCAGCAATCATCGGTAAGTCTCTATTTACTTTATAAGATTCGATCAAACTTAGCAAGTCGGTTTTAGCTCTATTATAATCTTTAAAAGTAGGAAAAATTTGAAGTGCCTCCATGCACGAAAACACCAACGTAAAATACTGAAGACCAAGTAAAAACAGCATGACTAAATGTCACAATTAAAATTTGTTATTTAAATATGTTAAACTATACAAAATGGCTGTTGATATAAATATAGTACTTATGCTATAATTTGTAATATATTGGTGGTTTTTATACAGAAAAAAAAGTCAAAATAAAGTAAAATAAAACCGGTTGTGCAAGTAATTATAGGTAAAAATCAAGTAAAAAATATTCATATAAAAAAAAGATTTAAAAAATTAAATGTAATGAATTACCTATTTGATATTGTATTATAGAACAACAATAACTTATAATTAACAATTGTTATAGTATTTGAAGTATTTTAGATTCTATAGAAATTTGTGTGACTAATGTAAAAAATAAATTATATTAAAAATGAGAAGTAAGCATAATAAAAATGTGTCATCAAAAATGTTTAATTAACTAAGTAACTAAGTGCTATTTATTTATATTCTTAAGAGATTAATGCATTTAAAAAATTCTATAAATAAATAACGGTATTTATAATATAAACTTCTAAAATGTCATTAATCTAAGAAGAATTAAATAATATAAATAACGCTAAAAATAATTTAAAACAATTAGATACAATAATTTAAAACAACTGTATGGAATCAAGTAGGTGTGCCAATAATTGTTAAAAATTTGTAATCTGTCAACGTTGCAAAAAAATCCTGAAAAATGTAGTAAATGGAAAGTAAAATAGTCTGACCGTTTAACAAGCAACATAACTTTGGCATTGAAAATTTGTTCATGAAAATGTCATTATGTTTTTAGGATTTGTAATATCTGATGCAGAAGCGAATCTAGGAATAAAATGAGGGGAGTTATTCTTTAAAATGCAACATCTGATTTCAGAATAAAATACAAAATTCCCCAAATCTTAAAATCATCCGACTAAAATGTGTCAAAAGCTCGACTAACCGTCTATAATCCTCAAAAATCCAATCATAACTTAAAATTCGCCTTCTTTGAGGGGGATAGGGAGGAGGTATAACAGTCCCCGTGTATTCGCCCTTGATTTAATGATCGCTAATTTGCGTGAAACTCTGAGTCACGTTTAAAATGAATTAAACGTTTTTATTATTTAGTTTTGACTAGATCTGTATTCACAAAGTCATATTGGATGTGTGAAAACGTCAATTTTTTCAAAAGAAAATGGCTTTTTATAATCTTCTATTAAAACATTTTAGCAAATAATAGTACCAAAACAATGATATATTATATATACTAGATGTCTAACTTTGATCCGAAAAGTGAAGCCGCTATAACCCTTTTTACAAATGGCTGAATAAATAAACAAATACTATTAAAATTCTCTTGAATAAAATAAGTATTTTAAATATAAATACTATTTATGTAAAAGTTTTAAGAGAAAATTAGAATACTTGTAAAATAATTTATCTTTCCAAAATTTAATCCTGATTTGAAAAAGATTAAATTTTTGAATAGAAAAAAGAAACGACAGACGACAAACGACAGGCGCTTTTGAAGCATTTTTATAAATTATAATATATAACAATGCTTCAAAAGCGTCTGTCGTTAAAATATACTTTTTAATGTTAGGCTCATAAAATAACTTTAATAAGTATTTAATAATCATTTAAACATTTTTTTTTTATCTTTAACATAAGACCCTGTCATGAATATATTTGTCTCGTTGAAGCAAAATATATCAAAAAATATATTTGTCTCGTTGAAGCAAAAATATTTTCTGCTATAAGTGTATTATAAATGCTTATAACACATTTGAATGCTTTACTTCAGTACACACACAAAACTTATTAAGATTCAGAGCCTACAAAGCCACGCATGTAAAGTAGTTAACTATAAAAGATGCTCAACAGAACATGATATCATTGAACTTACTAACAAAATATTTCAATTTTTTGATAAAGGGGATCTTGTATTTTGGAGTATTTATAGACCTTACAAAGACATTTAATACAGTTGACCACAACATCTTACTATCAAAATTAAAACATTATGGTATCAAAGGACTAATGTATAAATGGGTAAAAAGCTATCTGAGTAACAGAAAGCAGTTTGTAATAAACAAAGACTCAAGTGTTCTTGATATTAAGCGTGGGCTTCCTCAAGGCTCAATCTTAGGACCGTTATTGTTTTTAATTTACATCAATGATATGCGTAAAGCATCACCTATAGTATCTTCAATAATGTATGCTGATGACACAACTTTATTTTATAATCATAGTAATTTAAAATCGATGTTCGAAACAATGAATACTGAACTGGAAAACTTTAATTTATGGTTTAGAGCAAATAAACTATCCTTAAACTGTGAAAAAACCAACTATATCTTATTTCATAAAACAGGTCAATCAATGTCTCTACCGTTAAAAATTCCAGAATTGCTCATTAACAACATTACAATAAAACGGGAAAAATATGCAAAGTTTCTTGATGTTCATATTGATGAAAATTTATCATGGAGAAATCATATTGGACATATTGAAACAAAAATATCATCTGCAATAGGTATTTTATATAAATGTCGCCCGTTTCTTGATTTCTGTTCAAGAAAAAAACTTTACTTTAGTCTAATTCACAGTCATCTCAGATATGTTAATATAGTGTGGGCTAATACACACAAAACAAAATCAATCAAACTACAAGGGCTGCAAAACCATGCTTGTAAAGCAAATCATTATCTTGGTAGAATGGACAATCCTTCCAATGCGATGACAAATATGAAAGTCTTAAACTTGGAAAAACTTAATTTATATCAGATTCTTATTTTTATGTTCAAATATAAAAATAATATGCTACCAAATTCTTTTTTGGACATATTCTCGTCATCATTTTCTCAAAGTTATAATCTACGATCAAATAGCTTCCATAACTATTATATTAAAAAAACTAAAACCCGGGGTTCTGAATTTTCAATTATGTCACAGGGTCCTAAAATATGGAAAAACTTGAAAAATCAAAAATTAAAAGATATAAATGGAATATCGTCGTTTAAACAGCAAGCAAAGCTGCATATTCTTAGTTTGTAAAAAAAAAAAAAAAAAAGTAAAAAAAAAAAAAAAAAGTAAAAAAAAAAAAATAAATAAAAAAAAAAAAATAAATAAATAAAATGTATATATATATATATATATATATATATATGTGTATGTGTGTGTGTGTGTGTGTGTGTGTGTGTGTGTGTGTATGTGTATGTAAATATATATATATGTATATATATGTGTATATATATATATATATATATATATGTTTGTGTGCGTGTGTGTATATATATATATATATATGTATATATATATATATATATATATATATATATATATATATATATATATATATATGTATATGTGTGTGTGTTTATATATATATATGTGTGTGTGTATATATATATATATATATATATATATATATATATATATATATATATATATATATATATATATATATATATATATATATATATATATATATATATATATATATATATATATATATATATATATATATATATATATGTATATATATATATATATATGTATATAACAGTAGAGATAGTAATTACAAAGCTAATTACAAAAAATTATTTCTAATATTACTTAATTAACTTTTTATATAGACATAGATATACGCCAAACGGCGCTATTAAGGGAATCTGCGAAAAGATTTTTTTTGGAGTTTTATACCTAAAAATGCTGAATCTTCTTTAATTTCCTTTTTTTAGGTATTAAAGTATAGAAAAAAATAAACATATATATAATAGTTATTATACCAGAATTTATATTAAGTTTGCATCAATACTATATTAATGTATCAAAGTTATATTAATGTATTTTTATCAATCTGATACGTAATAATTTTATATATATTTTTTCTTTTTATCACGATAATAAATGTATATTTTATATGGTATACCTGGAGAAGAAAAAATAAATAAATAAATAAAAAAAAAACTATTTAAAGAGATTAGAAAACCCTTCCCCTGTGATGAAATGTGTTAAATATTTCAAAACTTAATTTGCTTCAAATGTTATTATTTATGTATAAATATAAGAATAACTAGCTGCCAAAAATGTTTTCTGATATTTTTACATCAGCATTTTTACAAAAATTTAATCTTCTGTCAACTAACAACCATAACCATCACTTGAGCAGAGTAGATTCGCAAGTGTCAAAATTCTCAATTATTTGCCAAGGCCCGTCATTATGGAATCAATTAAAAAATAACAATATAAAAAATTTGAAAAGCACTTTCTCTTTTAAACGACAAATGAAACTGCATCTCCTTAATTTTCGACATTAATGTAACTATGTTTGTATATGTGTGTGTATTTATGGGTATAGATGTATATATGAGTATGTATGTATTTATGAGTTTTTCTTTATTCTTCACGTAGTATTTAACAGATAAAATATTCTATTGTAAATGTTCTAAAGCCATGTGGGCTTTAAATGATATTGTAAAGGGCTCTATGAAAAGATTGTGGTAACACCAGTCATCCGTATCTTCTTTGAGCCCCTGTCTGTTTTATATATATTCTTTGTGTAACGTAAAAGTTTCATTGTAATTTTATTATTTTATTTTATATAAACAGCGAAATGTATTTAAAAAAAAAAAAACTTATTGGGAACTTTTGATGTTCTAAACTTGCATTTTTAACTTTTATTCCGCACATCGGCTTCAACTTTTGCCCATTTTACAAATGACGGACTATATTTATAAACAAAAAAAGCGGCTTCAATTTTTCGTCCAATTAAATACCGTTAGTTAGACATCTAGTTTATATAATATATCAATGTACCAAAGTAATGCGTGGTAAAATTAGTAACATGCAACGTAATTTTTAAAGCAGATTTATTGTTTTATTATCGCGACCTTGTCAGAAATTTATATACCAAGTACTTAAGTTTTTATCATTTTTCGATAAAACAGATTACGTATGAAAGGTGCTCCTGATAAGATTTACTCCAAACTATCGTATAATACGATATACGATGTTTCATTATTAACCCCGTCTTTAAAATATCTTTACCTTTTTTTTCTGGCTGAATTATACCAAAAAAATTATTTTTGAGAACGTACATTGAAAGTGCAGTGATGGTCCTCATACATATCACTTTTTAAAAAGT